GACAATTTCACGCATGGACAAAGTGGGAAACGCTCGGCGATCGCACGGATCCGCGCTTGATAGCACCAAGATGCTTTTAACCTCGCGAATTTCCTCGCTCGCGTACCGTCCTCGCATTGCTTCCGAGCAGTCGCCATAAATACCGCGCGTGCGACGTCTTGATATCATGTATTTTGTTCCGCGTTAATCCCTCGCAAACTCGCCTTGATGTTTCGGGACTCGTTCACTTGCCGCAGGTCGTTTCCTCCTCTCGCGATTTCGAAATTACGTCTCGCAGGCGAACAGTAAAGTTTAACTTCCTGTTACCGAATTCGTGCAAGAGTTTTGTCATGTTTGTCAAATGAACTAGCAAGCGAAATTGTCCAATTTCGAAAGGTCAATAATCTTTACGAATAAACTGTACAACATCAGCTCGCTATCCTCTCTCTCTCTCTCTCTCTCTCTCATAGATATTTAACGAGGACTATTTTATTTTTTATATCTTGCTACGAGAATTTAACAGAAAAATAACGGAGCCTTTGCGTCGATTTAATGTATTCACGCATGGACCATCTCTGTTTGTTCTCTTCGACATGTCATTATTTTCCACTTTGACTAGACAAGATATTTCCCGGACGGCTATCGAAGAAGTCACACACATAATGATAAGATAGCAACTTGTAGCCGATTAGAAGCGGCGCCTCATTCACCTTTCGCTCACGGCTTCTGTCCCGCGTTGATAGATAACAAAAGCGTGACGTAACTCTCAGGACGGTTCTTTCGACTAAACGTCAATCGCCGACACTCTTTTCCAACATATCTGGAATTTTGTAACGAACTTTGACCGCCGACAAATGCATCGACGCCGCTCGTGCTTCTTTCCCGCCGAAATGTTGCGCAGTTCTATACCGACAGAAGAATACTTGAAAATGTATTTGTGGGATATACTTTGCTTTCGCGGGAAAACCAACTTTCCACCCCGCAAATGAATTTTCACATGTCTCTTTTTCTCAGTATACATATTATTTCACATTTCCAAGTATATAGCGCATTTATATAACACGCGCGTGTGCAAATTGGCGCGCGATACATGCGCGTTTCAACAGAGACTTATCTCACGCGGGACTTATCTCGCTTTCAAAACAAACGTTCGATTAATCTCTTATCGTTTAGAAATTAAATTGTCCGGCGCTAATTAGGGTCGATATATAATTCGCCGTCTTCAAAGTCGTCGTCGTCGTCGTTGTCGTCGACGATACCTCGCTCGGTCGTGTCGTCTCTCGTCTTCTCTCGGTGCCTTTAACGCCGCCCGCGCGCGGAGTAACTTTTCAACCGCGTGTAACCCGCTCTCGCGAGCTTATATTTAACTCATTTCCGGTCAGCGTTGCGTAAACCGCGAGAGCTTTAGCCTAAATGCGAGGTATCTGATCGCGCGATAAAGCCACGCGGCTCTTTCGCACAACGGTGGTTCCCCGCGCCGATTGCTCGCGTCGAGATCTCGAGATCTGAGCGTCTCGTTAACGATCGCGAGCAACTTCGCGTCGCTCGGGCCGCGTGTCCCCGCGAACTCTACCATCAGTGGTGACGAATCTGATCCTATGCTTCAACAAACTCTCAGAAGTTGGCACATGAGTCTCTGGAATACGAATTTGTTCAAAAAGCATTCGATATCGCGAACATTGCGATACAGCCAAATCATGGCTTGGTACGTCAAGACACATCAACGGAAGAACTGTTACTCTAATTGTCAGGATGAGCTCGTATCATATCGCCATTAGAGAAGGCGCAATGGTAATAATCCAAGCGGCTATAAAGGAAGTCAACACTAATATTTTGGCAACAATACTCTTGTATCAAGATTCTTCCCCATGATAGAATCTCCACTCGAATTTATGAAATGTGTTAACTAAAACGATACCGGAGATTCGCGAGGAATTTGTTTTAGGACCTGGAACTATACATTGAGGAGGAGAGAGGCTACACGTCTGCACTTTAGGTTTTAATGAAACTTTAACATTTACTCGAGCTTATCTTTCTAATCGATCATATCTTATCTGAATACATTACGTGTATACATTACAACTGTTGGCTTTTGGCTAATCTGTCATTTTGACAGCTTGACATATCCTATCATATTATACTTATCATATGATGTCATTATATACACACATACATTGGATAGTTCTATAAGGACTATCAAGTTTCGACTTGGTGTAGTCGACTGATGAAGTGTAATTCCTCGACGAATTCTGCAACTCATTCCACATTCAATAAGGAAACGTATCTCCTGAGAATTACTGAAGAACAAATTCTCTTATCGGAAAAATACAGAGAGGAGACAGAAGGGGGGAGAGAGAGAGAGAGAGAGAGAGAGAGTGAGTGAGCAGCGTTAGCGCGTCATATCGTTAGAACTTTAGACTCTCAGATCTAACTCCGGAGGGCGATGAGCACGAGTACGCGCGTCTCTCGCGAAAGAGTAAAGAGGGCGAAGACGTCCTCGGAGGAGTAAGGGGAGGAGGAACAGAAGAAGAAGGAGAGTAAGAGAGGGAGGGAAGTCGGCGAAGAAGAGCAGAGAGCGAACGGCGACGCGGAGAGCGTCGATGCGCGAGCGAGAGTGTCTATTTACGAGTGTCCGGCGCCGTGATGTCCGGAGTAAAAATACACCGTGTAGAGTCCGTATGTCGTGTGTGCGAACGTGAACGCGCCACACAGAACCCTCTTATAATTCTCCGACGCGTTCGTCGGCTCTCTCGGTCGCCCAACGCTTCCCCTCCTCCTCCACCACCTCCTTCTCTCCTCGCATCGTCTTTTCCTCTTCTTGCCCTTCTCTTTCTCCCTATTTCTTTGCCCGGCGCTCCCCGTAGCAGCGTTTCTTCTCCTCTTCCTCCTCCTCCTCCTCCTCATCATCATCATCATCATCATCATCATCATCATCATCAACCTAGTCTTCCTTCTTCTTCGCGAAGAGTTGGACCGTGGCCAACTTCGCTGTACCGAGAGCGACGGTCACAGACAGCGAGAAACTGTGCTACGCTCCTGGCCGCGCGTTTAGGGCGAAAAGTATGGTCGTTGTAGGGAATTGACGTCGGAACGACCTGGCTATCGATTGTGTATCCTTTTCCCCTAGCGTGAACTTGTGAAAAGTGAAGATGTTCATATTTCCGTTGCTCGGGAAGTCACATGATCCCTAAAGTTATCGAATTCACTGAAACTTTCCGCTCTACACGTTTCCGCTTTTGGGGAAAAGTTACATGATTGCTATGCCTGGGCGCGACGACCAATGGCAGACCCTCTCTAGGGACTTGCTTTCTTTTATTGGACACTGAGTATTGCGCCGATCGATTATCGATATGTATCAATCGTCGACATGTCTAGATTTCGAGACTCTCGAAAAGAATGTTTGATCAATGAATAACTTAATTCGAATTTTCTTATAAATTCAAACATCCTCTGTCAAGTCGCGGAAACTCGCTCTGTTGATGACATAAACGTCAACTTGAACGTAAGAACTTCGAACTCCTCTTATGAGCATGGAAACTCTACCGAGACTCTCGAGTACGCGTCGAACTCGGCGGCGGTGTCCGTCCTGGACGATCGCGCGATCCTGGCCCGCCTTGACGTCGCATATGTATGTATATGTGTGTGTTTACAAACGTCCCGTACCCGTTGCGAGGCAGGTACGCGTCACGCAGTGTGGGTGCGGAAATATAATCGCGCAATGACGTCACACGTGCGGCCGCGCGCGCGCGCGCGCTCTGCAAAACAGACTTCCTCTCGTTCTCTCGCCGTTCTCCTGCGGAACTGTCCGCGCCAAGAAGACAAGTACCGTAATTCGCAAGTGCCCGTTTGGGCGGACTCCCGCGGGTAGCGATCCTCCGCTCTTTCTCGGATTCGGGAAGAGAGATCGGCATCTCCTCTCGCGATTTTCCCTCTCTTTTTTTTACCTTTTAACTGTTAACTGATATAATTATAAACTTATACATAACGTACAATTGTATAACTTGTACATAAACCCTATATTATGCATTTGCAAATAAAAATACGACGTTTTTCGAAACCTTAAAAAAGAGAGACGCGTTATGGCTTCTTTTTCTTTATTTTGCCGTGGATTATACACCTTCAATTTTTAATTGATGTCAGATTGATTCGCGCACATGCAACGTGCGTAATAAAAGATCGGCGGTGCGAAAGGATCCCGTCTTTATTTCGGGCGCTAAACCTACCTACCTACGCGTCTAACCCACGTCGCCGCGACGCCGCCGCCGCCGCCGCCGCCGCCGCCGCCGCCGCCGCTTCGCTTCGGTCTTTTGAATGGAATTATTTTTAGCATGCGCCTACTATATGTGGATAACTGTACGCGCCGCGGCGCGTATTCAGTTTCCGCGGATCGGGCGGCTTAAAGCGAGCATCCGATTCTCCGTGACATCCCGGCGAGGGGATACGGTAGCTGCGTCTTGCATAATTAAATTATTCCGTCGAAGGCCGCCGCCGCGTTATTGCGAGATCGAATGAGCGAGCGCTTCGCCGCCGAATCCGACATAATAATAAATAAAATACGGCGAAGTCGATGCACGTCGTTCCTTCCACTTGATGCTCAGAACAGATACATATTTACTATTAATTTATAATATTATTAAATACCTTTTCACAGTCTCTTCGATTATGCAAAATCATTCAATTATCTCCCATCGACCTCGATTGAAATTTTAAATCAGTCGAGGATTCTCCTTTCTCTCCAATTATAATTTTTGATACGATATTAAGTGGTTTTCCAGAAACAATTGCTGATTATGCAAAATAATGTAATTATCTTCTGTATCATCTGAATTTCCAAATCATAAATCTGTCGGTCGAGCATTTTCTTTTCGCAAAGATTCCGTTCTGAGCATTCCTGCTTTTCTTCCTCTCGAAGGAACGCGCGTTCGTCTCGGGATTATCGTCGTTAATCGCGCGCGCAATACGATTACACACCGTCGCTGTGGCGTCACGATCGTGCCTGACGAATATGTTTTTCTTTGCAGTCACATTACCCGCACAACTACATGGGAAGATCCGCGGAAAACGGCCGCTGCCGCGAACGTGGCGGCGGTCGCCGCCGCGGTGGAGAGCGGCAAGTCCAACGGCAACACGCTCGGTCCATTGCCGGACGGATGGGAACAGGCTCGCACAACCGAAGGCGAGATCTACTTCATCAATCATCAGACCCGCACCACCTCCTGGTTCGATCCGCGAATCCGTAAGTTCGATCGTCCGGCGAAAAGTCGCCGTTTTTTCTCATTTTTTACATTTCCCTGAGAAGTCTTCCCTATGTACTAGTAATAATAATAATAATGGAATAGTATACTGGAGCATAGTATAGTAATAAATAGTAATAACAGTAGTAGTAATAGTAATATAATATTAAATAGTAAAATAGCAGTGATAGTAGTATAATAATAATAGTAATAGTAGCAGTAATAATGACAATAACAAGATAATAATAGTAGTAGTAGTAGTAGCGATCGCGCGATCGTCCTCACGTGGCTCTCGTGTGCTCTAACGAGACCTGGTCTTTCTTCAGCGACGCATCTTCAGAGAGCTCCCACATCGGGCGCGATGCTGCCGCAGAACTGGCTACAGCAGCAGCAGCCCACCGGCGGCGGCATAAGCAGCCAGAGCCTGCAGGCCTGTCAGCAGAAACTACGCCTTCAGTCGCTGCAGATGGAACGTGAACGCCTGAAGCAACGGCAACAGGAGATCATGCGCCAGGTTAGCATAAAGAAGAAAAAGGAGAGGATGAGGGCACGCGTCGCCAAGATTACTCTTAAATCTCTTCGTAACGTCTCTCATGCGTGCATGGTCTCGTTGCAGCAAGAGCTGATGCTGCGACAGAGTACTACCGACGCCATGGACCCGTTCTTGTCTGGCATTAACGAGCAACATGCCCGCCAAGAGAGTGCCGATAGCGGCTTAGGACTCGGTTCCGCCTATTCTCTTCCTCATACTCCGGAGGACTTCCTCGCGAACATCGACGATAACATGGACGGCACGAGCGGTAAGAAGAAAGGCAAAAAAGAAGCAACGATTTAGATCACGTTTAGTTTAATCAACTGATTAGTTGTTTCGCGAACAATCGATCGATCTCGAGGCGTGTCTCATATTCAAAACAATCCTCTTCTGTAGACGGCGGTGCGCCGATGGAGACGCCCGATTTGTCGACTCTGAGCGACAACATCGATTCGACCGACGATCTTCTGCCGTCGCTTCAGGTATCCGCATTCGACCCGCATTGGTATCAGTTGCAGTTCGAGAACGACGTTACACTGAGATTTGTTTGAAAGGGGGCGGGAAAGACTCATCCACCCTTTTTTTTGCGAAGACAGAGGCAGTTGCACTTTCCGACTAATTATCGTATGCTCAATCTTTCTCTTTCTCTCTTTCTTTCTCTCTTCCTTTCTTTCTTTTTCTATCTCTCTATCTCTCTTTCTTTCTTTCGCTTCAATAACGGTTTAACAATACCAAAGCACGTATCGTCACTGGTGCTCACAACGGTCCTTGTTTCAGTTGAGCGAAGAATTCAGCAGTGACATCTTGGACGACGTACAGTCGCTCATCAATCCCAACCCGACCAAACCGGAGAACGTACTGACGTGGCTGTAGTACAGCCCGAGGACCGAGGCTCGTACTCGCGGCGGATTCGCTTGATCGGCCTAACGAACGCGCCATCGATACCGCGACACCAAGGCGGGAGACGTGTACGCGAGAAACTCTTTCCGAGGGTTTTCGCCAAGAGCAAAACATCACCAACAACAACGAAGTTAAACGACTGTTCCGCGACGAAGCGCACGCTCGCTTACGACGACGATCTTCGAGCCTGGACACACAGTGGCCTTATCATTGCAGCGCATTATGCTCAACAATACAGACACGTGTATACGTAAGCGATACATATATACGTACATATGTGTATATATATACATCGTTTATGTATACACCCACGTAGGTGTAAGAATTCCCGTTCGTCGGGCCTCTCTCTCTGTCTCTCTTGCCAGGTGCGACTTTACGCGTTCGCGCACACGTACGAGTGTTCCCGAACGTTTTGTACATAAATTTTTAATTTCCCGCCGTCTGTGGAGAGGCGCGTGAGAAAGAGCAAGCGAGAGAGAAAGAGAGAGAGAAGGGGGAGGGGGAGAGGAGAAGAATTGAACGACTAAGTGGACGTTCTTCTCGGACAGGAAGGGATACTTTGACGACAGCAAACGATGCGACCGATCGCCGATATTGCGCGTTTCTTGTCATAGAACGCGACGATAACGGCCGAACCGACTCGATCTATATTTACGACCGAATTCTCGACGAGAACTGCTGCTGCTGGCACCATGACGTGCCGGTTTCTCGGCTGTGGAAGCGCGTTCGCGACAATCGGGGACGAAGCGAGAGAACCTTACAAGTGCAATCGATCGTAGTCTCGTACATCGCGAGAGAGAGAGAGAGAGAGAGAGAGAGAGAGAGACAGAGATAAACAGAAATCGTCAGGCTTTCTCGACGAACGTGAGCAGCAGGAGTCTTCGTTGGCCGTGACACGATAGCCACGCGATAACAATCGTATTCCCAGCGATCGGATTCTCCTGCGCGCGCGACGCAAAAGCCAACGCGGAGCCGACGGAAAAACCACCTTCGATTGGGGACACTTGGGACTCGCGAGTCGTGTGTTATCGCGAACACGTGAAGAAATATACGCGTCATCCCGTGTACACGCGGGGTTCGGAGCGACGAGTCGTCGGGCTGCGTGTCGAACTGTCGCGCACTATTGTGTATCCGCGTTAACGAACGTCTTCGAACGATCATCATCGCGCTCGCGGTGCGACTCAATCACAAGCGATACGCTTTAAAAGTGCCTTGTCCTTTTCTCAAATGATCAATCTAAAAAAACGCGAGGCGACCGCGGCCACACCGCAGTCGTCGCCGTCGTCTTTCAACGCAATAACCGTCCATACAAATCGTTCGCATGAGAACACACGTGGTAATAATTATTAAAGATAAACGAAACGCGTTTTTCACACACACACACACACACACACACACGTCCACACATATATGCATACTCACACATGCATACATATATATACACATACACACACTCTGCTTCGCGCACGCTCGTGAGTGCGCGGGGTGGCAGGGGGGTGAGATACCCGATACCGGGGATCGGTTAGGTCCGACGCGGTCAACGTAAAATGAAAAATATATATATTTTTTTTATATGTGTAAAGTCTATATATACTTGTTACAATTTTGCAGTTATTCGTATTTTTCGAAGAAACCTTGTTAGATTGTAAACTTCTCTTACGTTTTATACTACTGTCGTGCAGTTAATGTTAACGCAGATCGCGAGGGAGAGAGAAAGAGATAGATAGATAGAGCGAGGGAGCGAGAGGGAGAGTTATTATATGATATTTGCAGGTTTACACCTATCTTTTTAGCCATAAGTGTTTCTTCGCGCGTCGTCCTGTTGTCCCTCGGGATTGAACGGGGGATCACGCCGGGATCGACGAGACACGTTCAAGAGGCCGCTGATGTTTTTTTTTTTATTTTATTTTTTTCGTTTCATACGCCCTGCGCTCGCGGATGTAGCGCGCGGTCGGTGCGTCGGCGGTCAGGGAATCGGAAGCGGTTCTCTCGGAAGAGCGGATAATTTTGTAACGTGCGCAATATTGTAACGTGTAATTAGTGTTATATGTCGGCAGCTCTTTTTGAACGTACGGCGCGGACATTCGCGCGACCGTTCCACGCCGGCGGATGGCGAATTGTTCGAGAGCGCTCTCGCGTCTCCACGGGTGCGTTACTTGAGCGATTACACGAGTATCAAGAGATATACAATTATAAATATAGAATATATTCGTGTTACATATTAATTCATTTTTGTACGACATGCAAATGCAACATATGCAACGTATATGGACACGCTTGTCGCGACTCTATGAGATTTATGATAACGATGAGAGGTGCAAGAAGGAACAAGGAATAATCGAAGTTGAAGTAACGTTGAAGTAACGCCCTCGTATGAAAGTATGAGTGCAATTCGGTTGGCGGAACCGTAGACGCGAGATGAGAGAGAGAGGGGGGAGAGAGAGAGAGAGAGAGAGAGAGAGAGAGAGAGAGAGAGAGAGA